GTTCATTCTGCTTTCCTGAGATGAGAATTCACCACTATAAATTTCCCTCTGAGAACTGTTTTCATTGTATCCCACAAGTTCCTGTAAGTTGTATCTACATTTTCATTTGACTGTAAATATTGTTTAGTTATTTTTTCAGATGCCAAGTCATCTTAGGTAATCACAGGCTTTAAGGTAAGATAAACTTATACATTTACTAAGGCAGGCACTTTTGTGTATAGGGAGGGGAAGTGGATGTCTTATAAAATTTCTATGAAAAACTATGATCAATCCAAAAATGTGTTTTTAAGGAATTTTTCTGGAAATTCAAAGAATTGAAAGACCATCCCCAAAAAACCACCACCAATGTTAAGAAAATATGTAACTTGGAGGGGAAAAAAACCCTCAAAACTATTCTGGGCATGGTATATGTTTTAGAGTAGCCATAAACACTTCCAGGAACTGGCTGGTTTCTTCATATAAGCTGGTGGGTGGTGAATGGGATTCTCACAAACAGTTTTATCATCATTAGCTTCTTCCCACAGGTCTCAGTCTATTTCCAAAGGTGACATCAGTGAACATGTAAGGTCCATGACCTCTAAGGTTAATGGCATCTGCTCGAGCAACAAGACTCTGACAAACTCTGGGGATGTCTAGGCACACAGCATCATAGTGAGGAACAATTGTGGAGGTCTGAAGAAGAAATTTGAATTTCTGCCCCTAGTCAAGAAGGGTCTTGTTATCTGGTTTACATTCAAGATCTCTCTGGTTCATGATTTCCATCAACTTTCTTCTGGGTTAGGAAACTTCATCGTGAGACTTGAGATAGACTGATCTGGAAAGTTTCCTTAGTTTCTTCTGAGCTTGAAGTCCCTGGGTGAGGCCCATTGGAGGTAGATGAATCGGCCTTGGGTAAGGAATCTTGTAATGCAGTCTAATTTCAATCCTGGCTGTACACTCATCAATATACTATTTAATCAAGTCTGTGTCTGTGTGATTTTTCTTTTTCTGAAACTGTTCTGGCTTCATTTAGTATACACTGTTTTTCTTTAATGGTGTCTTCCATCTGCCCTCATGCCACATGCCATTTCCTCACAAGCTTGAAGATGCTACGGTAGAAGCTAAGAACTTCTTGTCATGTTGCTGTTGTCATCTCCCCCCCCTCCCACCCCCCACAGAAACGCAGCAACCCCTGGCAGGCTGGGTGGAAGAGGCACCAGGAGTTTTGCTAACCCCAGCAGACTGAGCATCTGCAGGTCCGGTAACCCAGGCCAGACCAAACCAGTGGGAGGACTTGTGTGGGTGCATCAGTTCCAGGTCAGGGGTAGTCTAGAGCATTTCTAAGCTTTTTACTCTATGCTACTCTCCATTGTATCCAACAATATAGCCAATCTCATCTTCTCCCTATTTTTGTTTTACTCCTTTGGTTATGTTTCTCCCCCATTCCAATCAAAAAATGGTATTGTAAATATTTTTAAATTTCTACTTTGATTTCATCTATGGCCCATTGGTTGTTCAGGAGGGTGTTATTTAATTTCCATGTGTTTATAGAGTTTCTGTGATTCCTTTTGTCATTAATTTCCCATTTCATTGCACTATGGTCCGATAGTATGCATGAGATAATTTCAATTCCTTTGCAATAACTTAAACATCTTCTATGTGCTAGCATATGGTCTGTTTTAGAGAACATCCCATGTGCAGCTGAAAAGAATGTGTATTCTGATGCTGTTGGATAGAGCACTGTAAAAGTCTACTAAATACAATTGTTCACAAGTTTGGTTAAGTTCTGTTATTTCTTTGCTGAGTTTTTGTCTAGTTGACCTATCTCTTTGTGACAATGGGGTGTTAAAGTCCCATGTTATATTGTGTTGCTTATTTCATTTTTCATGTCTGTTAAAATTTGTCTTATATAGTTGGGTGCTCCTGTATTTGATGCATAGATGTTTATGATTTTTATCTCATTTTTCCCTCCCAAGTATGTAGTGACTGACCACCTTTCTCTCTTTTGATTGTCCTTGGTTTGAAGTTCATGTTGTCTTCAAAGAAAATAGCTACATCCACTTTTTTGTGGGTTGCTGTCATGTGAGTATTGTTTTCCATCCTTTAATTTTCAGTCTATGAACTTCCTTTTGAATTAAATGTGTTTCTTGTATACAGGATATAGTTGGATTTTGTTTCTAGATCCACTCTGCCAATCTGCTTCTTTTGATTGGTGCATTGAGGTGGTTTACATTGATGGTTATAGCCGATATGTACTGGTTTATTTTGTAATGTTATTTTCCTGCTGTTGGTTCTTCCTTTTTCCCTCTGTTTAATTGCTTGCTCGACTTGGTGGTTCCTTTCTGTTGTTGTTCTTGAAGTTGTGGTCTTTTTTTTTTTTTTTATCTCTTTGTAGAATATCTTTTAGTACTCCTTGTAGGATTGGTTTGGTGCTCATGAATTTCTTCAGTTGTTCTTTATCATGGAAATATTTTACTTCCCCATTAAATTTGAAGGATAGTTTTGCAGGATACATCAGTCTGGGTTGAAAGCTGTTTTCTTTCAGTACCTGAAATATTTCACTCCAAGCTCTTCTTGACTTGATGGTTTGTGTTGAGAAATCTACCATGATTCTGATGGGCTTTCCTTTATAGGTGATCTGTTTCTTTTCTCTAACAGCTTTTAATATTCTGATCTTTTGTTGAGTTTCTGGGATCCTGATCACTATGTGTCTGGGTGTAGATTTATTTTGCTTATGGTTCATTGAAGTTCTATATGCTTCACTTATCTGTATGTCTGATTCTTTTTCCATGCCTGGGAAATTTTGTGCTATTATTTCTGCCAAGAGTCTTTTGATGTCATTTGTGTTGACACCTGCTCTTTCATTGATACCTATCAATCTGACATTGGTTTTCTTTGCTTCATCTTGCATTTGTTGAACTGTTATTTCCTGGTTCCTTGCTGTTTTTCAGAGATCCTTCCCTTCACTTTAAGTAGTGTCAATGCTGTCTTCAAGATCTAAAAGTCTATCTTCAGCTTCATTCAGGCAGTTTTGCCAGCTTTCGATGGAATTTTTAATTTCTTGGATATCTGTTTGAATCTGTTTCATGCATTCTAGTTCTTTTCTCTATTGTTCACTCAAGGTTTCCATGAGTTGTCTATGCTTCTCTATTTTCTTAACAATGTCTTCTTTGGATGTGCTGAGAAATTCTTTTTTTGTTTGTTTCTGGTACTAGGAATCAAACTCACAACCTTGTGCTTGCCAGGCAGGCGCTGTGCTGCTGAGCTAAATCCCCAGCCCCCTGCTGAGCAATTCTTCCATTATTGTTGTCATTTCTTTTTTTACCTGAGAGATTATTCCTGATCTAATGTCTTCTAAGGCCTGATGAAATTGTTTGTTTACTTCAGTTGCTATCATTTCAGAAATTTCAGATGTATGAATTCTAGGCTCTTCTGTGTTGATGTTTCCTATACTTGCTCTGGGTGGGGTAGAGGTCTGAGATTGCGTTTTGCTCCTTTGTTTTGTTATTTTTGAAGATCCAGTTGTTCCCTAGAGCTCAGTCTCACTCACATGATGGTGTTGGAGTGGCAGGGTGAGGATCCAATGTTCCTCAGTGTTCAACATGGCTCCTGTGCTGGTGTGTGGTGGCCAGGTGGTGTCCCAGATGCTCCCAAACAATTCTTGCATTCAGTTGGCTCCCAGGCCCATGGGTGAGGGGCAGGGGGAGATTCACCAGAGTTCCTGAAGCTGTCTGGTGTTCAGCCTAGTTTCCATAAGGGTGTGTGTGGGGGTGCAGGCTGTGATCACTAAGGCTTTAGACATTGCCCAGGACCCAGCCCAGTTCCCATGCCAGCAGGAGAGGAGTGAGGGTGGAGTACCTGAGGCCTCTGACTAGGTCCAGGTTTCAGCTCAGCTCCCATGGAAGTGTGGGTGGTGCTGGTTGTGGCCACTGAGGCCCCAGAAGGTGACTAGGGCTCTGCCTGCCCTGCACACTGGTTGGGGAATGTGGGGATGGCTCAACAGGGTTCCTGAATATGTCCAGGTTGTACCCATGTGTATAACAGCACAATTTATAATAGCAAGATGTTGGAAACAACCCAAATGCCAAACAACCAAGGAATGAATAAAAAAGATGTGGTATTTCTATACAATGGAATGCTACTCAGCCATAAAGAAGGATTAACCTGAGTCTTTTATAGGTAAATGGGTGCAACTCGAGACCACGCTCATAAGTGAAATAAACCAGATGTACATGTATAAATATTGCATTGTCTCCCTAGTGTGAGAAGCTGAAGAGTAAATAAGATCCAAAATGAACAACAGATATTATAAAATGGGAAGAAACTTCAAAAGGAAACAGAAAGTGGGATGGAGGAATGGAGAAAAGAAGGAAGGGAAAAGCAAAAAAAGTAATTTGTATGTATAAAAGATAGTTATACTACTAATTTCTCTTAGTTCATTGAAAACAAACATCTATGCTAACATTGTTTGGACAATTAAATGCCAATATCTCGTACTCTGAGTAACTAATTTAAAGATAACAATGTGTAATGTATTAACCATTCTTAGCCTCCTATTATCTTTTGAATTTTTTTTTTTTCACTTTAAAAAAAAAAAGAAGTTGTAGTCCATGGCCAGCTGGCTCCAAGGCAGGGTGCCTTGATAGAGGAGCATCACACAGCATAAGCACTGCATGACAAAGCAGGACAGGCAGAAGGCAGTCAGCAAGCAACAAGTGATAAGCACGGACCCTCCTGTAGTCCTTGTATCTTATCTGGGTTACCTGCTAGGGCAGATGTTATGTTGGCATCTACATTGCCTCAACGCCCACGTGTTAAAGTCTTCATCCTCGGCTTGGCACCATGGGAGATATAGGAAGCTTTGAGAGGTGGGGCCTGGCGGGAGGCCTTCAGGTCACCAGGATGCATTCTAGACGGGGATCTTGGGACTCAGTCTTCTCCTCTTCTGTCTCCTGGCCAGGCTCTGCCACATGTTCCTGCCATTATGTCTGGCTTCACCGCATACCTAGGTTGATCACATGGACTGCAACTCTGAAAACTCTTGAGACAAAATACACCTTCCTTCTTCATTAGATGCTGTGTGAGAAGTACTTGTTACAGTGTTGCTAAACTCATCCACCATGCTCAATGAGGTCATTTTCAGACTCTGACTTCCTGTCCTGGAAGAGAATACATTGGTGTTATTTTAAGCCATCACAGCTGGGGATCACAGGCCATAGCGGTAAAGCACTATTGAGTGAGTTTGACCTGTGAGCTTAGTTTCCCCCACAAGAAGACTTGGCTAGCTCAGTGGTGCAGTGCTGGTCTGGTGCCCCGAGGTCCCTGAGTTCAATTCCCAGTACCAAAAAAAAAAAAAAAAAAACTGAGTTCAATTCCCAGTACCAAAAAAAAAAAAAGGAGACTCGGCCTGACTGATGGGAACCCTTTGGGAAGACAGAGAAGGAAAACCACCATGCATTGACACAAACTGCAGGTGGAGCCCAAAATTGTGTTGATAGAAGTTTTACCCAGTATAAATCTAGAAGAGGAAATAAAGAGCATAGAGATCCAAAGAGAGAAACCAACTCACACTTCATACACACGTTATTCACCAGGATTTTGTGCACACAGTGTTAGAACAGAGATGAAGATTCAGGAAAGTTCTCGACAGAAAATTAGGAAGTAGGTAATTAGAGGTGAGGAAAGCAGCAGAGGAGGAGGGGAAGGAAGGGAGAGGAAGTAGAGAGAGATGAAAATGATTGAAGTTGTTCGCACACAGCAATACACCAAAGCCAAACTCATCAATCTGTGTTACCTATATGTGCTAATAAAACACAACATTAAAAAAGACAGGGTCTCAAGAGCAAGAGAAGCCCGATCTGACTTACTACAGAGGACCTGCTACAGACCTGATGTGGCAGTGAAGGAAAACACAATTTACCAGCAAAGAAGAATAAGATTTCTGGCACTACTGCTAAAGAATTATGCAAAACTGCACAGAATTGATACCAAAAGTGCACAGAGGATATTGACATAAGTAGAGACACACTCTAAGATGCTGGACAGGTACATATGATATGAAAACCTGAATGTCCATTAATCTAAAAACCACAGCAATGTCAGTTAGAATTTTCTTTTGTGCCTGCAGGACTCTGTGTAACTTGGTGAATTTCTACCTTGCAAGGTGCATGTGATCTTGACCCAATGACTGGTGAACTCCCCCTCCCCAAGCAGTATCTGGAGCCAGTATGTATATGGTGGTCACAAGGGAAAGTGTACATTAGTCTATAAGTGAGATACACCAGTTAGATATTCTTATAGAAATAAAATAAAATAAACTACAACCAGCTTCCTATATGGATTAAAACCCAACCCACCACTTGCATATTCTCAGCTTCCTGGTGCCTCAGTTTCCCTAATCAAATCTTTGAAAAGCTAAGGCTCCTTCTAGCTCAGGATCTCTGGCTGCCTTCTTGCCATGCGGACAATTAGGTGCCTAAAGCTCAGGCGTGCAACACTCAGGCAGCTCCCTGTAAGGCTACTGCTTCCCCTGACCTCACTCACAGGCCACAGGCAGGCCTGTTCCTGGAGGGGAGTATTCCCTGGGCCTGTCCTCTGCCCTGTGTCCTCTCACAGGTGAGAGTTTCACCCATGCTCGCGGCCTGCACTCACCATGTTCTCACTCCCATTGGCATTTCCTGCAAAGACAGAAGCCTGTGGTTAGTGGCTGCACATACTACCCTGATATTCTCTGGCCTGGGACTGTCACATCCTGCTTTAAACCAGGGATGGCGTGAGGATAGTCCTCAAGGAACTTGCTGGGATGAACCTAAACACCCCTCTCCCTTTCCACAGTTAGCTTATCCGTGATTTCTGCAAGCTTCCAAGAGGCCTGTGGCTCTTTGCACCCACAGCACCCAGGGGTCATCTAGAGGCTGCCCCCAATTTGCTTTCCCACCAAGCCTGGCGAGATATAACCTGTGTCAAGCCAGGTCTGCCTCTGACACTGAACCTAGATCTGAAACTCCAGTGACAGAGCTAGCCATACCTCAGCTGCAGATGGCTGAGCACTGTGGTCCCTGTAGCTTTTTGCCCTCAGTTCCCTTCAGTTTTTGCCCTAACGGAGAAGGACCCTTTCCTATGTGCACATGCTGCTGGGTGGAAAGAGCCAGCCCCTCTGTGAATCAGGCCCTGCAGGACCTACCTGCACCCAGGCTGTTCCTTGCTCTTATCCTGGTGCTGTCACCAAGTTCTCCTATGTTGTTAGACAGATATTTCCAGGGTACATATCTGATTAGAAGATAGATAACCAGCAGGAACGGAATGAGTAGCAGCAGACATAGCCAGTAGATGCTCTCTAAAAAGTGGCAAAACCAGAAAATGTCTTGGTAAGGGCAGGAATTGGCATTTTCCCTCAGCAGTGCTATGATAAAAACAAAGCAGCTTTCCCACTTTCTGAAACCTTAGATGTGACAGCCCCAGGGAAGAGGCCCAGAGAACAGGCCAAGCCCAGATGAGAGGGGAGGATGTCTAGCTCCCACACTGGTGGGCATGAAGACTGTCCCCTCGCCAAGGTGGTCTCATGGTGGTGGCAAGCCTCACACAGGCTTTCAGGCCTCAGAGGGCTGTGTGAGGGAATGGTGTGCCACCAGCCACAAGCCAGGCCAGTGACCTCTGGGACAGTCGCTCCTGGAGGCATCATGTGGTGCCTCAGCAAGGCGGATGGGCAGCGTCAGGCCACATCTCAAGTGACCCACACATCCCCGTTATCACTGTGGTAGACGTGGAAGTCATGGATACTGCAGTAGGAGCAGCTGGGTTCGTCCCGATGTGAGACACAGCCCACATGATTCCCTGGCTCCCAGGTCCATTTTCCAGTAAGGAAGGACAACTCCAACTTTTCTTACGTCTCTATTTGCTTACTCATTTTAAAATTGTCCTAAAGTAGATATAACATGAAATTTTCCACTTTAACCATTTTCTAGAGTTCAGTCATTTCAGGTGTATTTACATTGCTGTGTAAACACCTCCTCTACCGACCTCTAAAACATTTTCACCCTCCAACCTGAAACTCTGTCCCTGTGAAACACTCATTCCCCACCTCCTCTCTGTTCCCTGGCACCCCACCCTACTTTCTTTCTCCATGGATCTAATGACTCTGTGGATCTCATATAAACAGCACATAGGATTGCCCTTTGGTGACTGGCTTATTTTGCTGAGTATGGGGTCCTCACAGTTAATGTATATTGTTAAGTGTCATTTTCTTCATCTTTAAGGCTGAGAAACATTCCATGGAATGTGTGTATCACTTCCAGTTGGTCGTCTATGGCCACTTCGGTGGCTTTCACCTTTTGGCTGTTGTAAATGCTGCAAACATGGTATGCAAACATCTCTTGGAATTCCAATTTCAGTTTTTTGGGCATTTTACCCAGACGTGTGATGGCTGGGTCATAGGTTAATGCTATTTTTAATGTTCTAAGGAACATCTGTACTGTTTTCCACAGAAACTGCACTATTTTGCATTCCCACCAGGAATGCATATACCCCAGTTTCTCTAAGTCCTCCTAACACTTATAGTTTTCTGATTTTTGAACAGTTGCTGTCCTGAAAGGGATGAAGTAGATTCTCATCTCACTGTGGTTTTGATTTGCATTTGCTTCAGGACCTATGACATTAAGCATCTTTCCATTGCTTGTTGGCCATTTGTATGATTGCTGGAGAAAAGCCTATCAAGGTCCTTTCCCCATGTTTACAATTGGGTTTTGTTTTATATTGTTGTTGTTGAGTTGAGGAAGTTCTTTTCATATTATGGCTATGGATTGTTTAGATTTGTGACTTGCAAATATTTTCTCCTCCTCAATCTTTCACTGTGTGCCCATTTTGACACACAGAAGCTTTTAGGATGTGTGTAATCTTGTTTGTTTATTTTTCCTTCTTGATCTATGCTTTTGTTGTCATATCAGAAATCAGTGCCAAATCCAAAGTTTTGAACGTGTTCCCCTAAGTTGTAAGAGTTTACAGGTTTAGGACTTGCTTTTAGGTGTTTCTTCCATGTTGAATGAACTTTCGTACATGTTGTGGGCTTTTTTGTTGTTGTTATTTGATACCGGGTCTTGCTATGCAGTTCAGGCCAGGCTTGAGCTCACTTTGTAGCTCAGGATGGTCTCGAACTCCTGACGATCCTCCTGCTTTGTCTCCTGAGCACTGGGATTACAGGAGTGAGCCACCATGCCCAGCTCATGTTGTGAAATAAAGGTCCAAATTCATTCTTTTGCATGTGAGTATCCAGTTCCCTAGAATCATTTGTTGAAAAGATTGTCCTGTTCCCCTTCAATGACCGGGGCTCAAAGGTCTATGTATTGTGAGAATTGTTTAAAATGTATGAAATAAATACAGAAAAACAAAATACAGTGTGTGTTTGATTATTCCATCATAATGAATGAAGTACTGACTCACACTACAACCTGGATGAACATCAAAACCACGATGCTCACCGAAAGCAGTCAACCCCAAAAGGTCAATGAGGTTCTGATGCCCTTGACATACAATGCCCAGAACATCCCCATCCAATGAGATAGAGCGTTGATGAGCAGTTATCAGAGGCTGAGGGATGTGTGGTGTTATAGCTGAAGGGGATCGGATACCTCATTTTGGGGAGATGGGTATATTTTGGAACTAGAAGGAGATGGTGATATTAAGCGACCCTAATGCATGAACTTTTAAATGATTGCTTTTAGGAGAGTGGTATAAGGGGGAAAATTATAATCTATATTAAATATATGTACAAATCTATAAATAGGAAACCTATTAATCTGTGTAACCAATGTGAACTAACCAGAAGAGTATAAAAATAAAGTGGTTTAGTTTCATCTCATGTGAATTTTACCTTAATAAAAATCAGCCAGGTTTAAAAAAACAGAAACAAAAACCGTACTTTGATGAGCCATCCCGCAGACTGTGTTTGACGTGGCACTGCATTCCCGCAGGGCTGGAATCCCCTCAGAACACCTGGAGAGAGACACCCTCAGTTCCATTCCTCTGGAGCTTGTCCCTGTCATCACCAGCAGAAGGGGGCTCTGCCCTCTCTTGGTGCCTCCCCAACCCACTCTTGGGGGCACCGTGTTGTGCAGTAAGACAGAGCTGAAACCCCTCCCCCCAGCTGTCCCCAACCCAACCAGCATCCTCAGAAGGCATTGGTGTGATTCTCACTAATGCCCGATAGTTGACCAATTTTCCTCTTCTATGAATATGGACTGCCTCATTAGTGGCCTATGCGTAGAAGAACAAATGAAGTTGTCCTTTTTTTATAAGAGCCTCAGGATTTCAGGGTTCTTTCCTAGTCACTGCATTCTGTAGGCCTAATGCTCATGCTTGCACACCTTAGTACTAGCTAGGTCTGGATGAAGGGGGACTCTGTTACTTGCTGACTTCCCTCATAGCATTGAACTCTGTGCATTTCACAGTGCAGAGAAAGTGCTGCATTTATCTAAAATTCATGCCTCACAGTCCACCCTTACTCTTCTTTCTTTCTTTGCTATTCCTTGCTGACACTCTGGGTGCTCCAACTCTCCCGGGAATGAATGAGGCTTCTTCTTAGACTCTTAACTCCAGACTCCCAGCAGAAAACATGGGAGAAATCTCCAAGACAGACACCCTTCAGGGAACCTAAATCATTGCCTAGGCTGTCACTTTGCTTCCTTTTGAGAGAAACCAGCCTTAGAGATGTTGGCAGGTGAGTCCTGGTCCCCTGGGATACCTCAGGGCCTGCAGGACAGCACTGCTGGGGTGGGCAGAGGCATCAGGCAGATACTCAGCACCTTGGTGGGCAGAGGACCCTGATATGAAGCTTCCCTGTGAGAGGAGCCACATTGCTACCCCGTCAGAGGACCATGAGTGGAGAACAAGGCCTTCTATCAGACACTGCCACAAAGTCATGTCCAGCATCATTTCCCAGAGCATTATGTGCAGATGTGGAGAAAGTGAGGCATGAAAGAGCCAAGGAACACATCAGAGAGCCAAAGGTTAATGAGAAAATCACAAGATGAAGAGAAAGAACTCAGACATGTGGAATGAGTAGAAATAGGAATAGCCTGGAAAGTGATGGGTTTGGTTGCATTTTGGGGAGGAAAGAACGGAGGAGCATTTGGCCATGGTAGGAGCCATCTCTCTGGGCTGCTGCAGGTTGCACGGAGTGCTAGAGGTCACCGCAGCCCTGCTGATTCTCAGCTGGTAAAGTAAACCCCCTCTCATGCCACCTCCAACCCATGCCCACCTACTTGTCACATGGCATGCAGAATTCCAAAGTCCCAGGGTCCTGGTAGAAATGGCCTGTTTTGCACTGGCACATTCGGTTGCTGGTTGGGGAGCACTCCTGCACCATTTCTTGGTCTGCAGAACAGGGAACACTGAAGTTAGCTTAAGGTGGAGACCATGACATCACCCATGTGCATGAACCTGCAGTTACTAGAAATGGGAATGTAGCGCCGGGCATGGTGGTGTACGCCTGTAATCCCACCACTTGGGAGGCTGAGGCTGGAGGATTGTTGCAAGTTCGAGGCTAACTTGGGCTACAAAGTGAGCTCAAGGCCAGTTTGAACTTCATAGCAAGACCCTATCTCAAAAAGACAAAAAAAAAAGAAAGAAAGAAATGGGAATGCAGTGTGTCTCCTACAGAGCTTAATCAGTCAAAGCAGGTGCACTGAGGTCTTGTTTAGTGTCAAGCAGATCTATAGGAAGCTGGGCATGGTGGTACACACCTGTAATCTCAGCACTTGGGAGGTTATATCAGGAGGATTGCTGTGAGTTCAATGCTAGCCTGGGCTACAAAGTGAATTCAAGGAGAGTTCAAAGCCAGCTTGAACTGCAGTGAAACCCTGTCTCAAAAAGAAGAAGAAGGAGATGGAGAAGGATAAGAAGAAAAAGGAGGAGGGAAAAGGAGAAGGAGAAGGAGGGGAAGGAGGAGGAGGAGGAGGAGAAGCAGGAAGAGAAAGAGAAGAAGGAGAAGGAGGAGGAGGAGAAGGAGAAGGAGGAAGAGGAGAATGAGAAGGAGAAGGAGAAGGAAGAAGAGAAGGAGAAGGAGGAGGAGAAGGAGAAGGAGGAAGAGGAGAATGAGAAGGAGAAGGAGAAGGAGAAGGAAGAAGAGAAGGAGAAGGAGGAGGAGAAGGAGAAGGAGAAGATCTATAGGAGCAACCTGCTCTATTCTTTCAACTTTTCTGTCTGAAAACTTTCATAATACAAAATTGCTTATTCTCTAGGAATTGAGCTCTGTCTTGTTTCTGTGTGTATTTTGTGAGTTTGTAGACTGAATCAGCTATTTGCAATTAGCAAAAAACAGTGACAAAAATGGCAAGAAAATGCTGTGCCTTTTCGTCAGAGTATGATTAAGGTTGTGTTCACACTGTTCTCACTCTGATGATACAAAAGGAACAATTCTTATGCCAGTGAAACAGTGCCCACTACATCTCTGCAGCATCTGTTTTTGACTGCTTCATCCTAGTGCTGGATGAATGGGTATCTGGCTTTTCTCCATGCTTTCAAAGCTAAACACCGAACACTTAAATATCAGAGGCAGAGGCTCAGCTTCAATTCCCTCTTTAGGGCACATTCCTGGTAAGAGCACTGCTATCTAGGGGTGCAGGTATCGTGGCCAAATCCCTGGAGACTCACCGTCACGGCAGCTGTAGCAGACAAGGCAGGAGTCCAGGCCGTTGGCATGCGCTGTGAACGTCCCTGGGTCACACGTGACACACTTGCCCTGGGTGTGGGGGCTCACACAGGGCTCCTGGACATATTCTCCTGTGGAAGCGATTGGGCAGAGGTGAGAGCCTCCTCTGGGGCCCACCTGGGTCATGGGCCTGTATTGTGCTCTACTGGGTCCTTAGGGGCTCAGGTCTCAAACGAGTCAACAGCAATGCTAATGTCTTAGAGTTTAAGTTCGAAGTAATGTCTGTAAGTGACAAGTTCTTAGACATGATTAAATGGCCAGCTGCTTTGGGGCCTCCTTGAGATGTTGACCCTCTAGTTCTCCTCCCTGAACCTTCCCTGCCCCCTGTTTAGGGTTCAGTGCTCACTCTGGGCAAGGGGGGGGGGGGTAACCCTAACCCAGGTAGACTTGCTGGACATGCCTTGTCCACCAACTACAGACAGATACACAGATTCTGCTGTGCACATGAGGGGTCCTCCTCACATGGGACAAGGGGCACCTCTCTAGGATTCTAAAGAGTAGGCAGCAGAAGAGTACAGTCCCTGGTACCCACAAACCCTATCTAGCACAGCCTCTGGTCTGCTCCAATGGCCACCTAAACCCACAGTGGGCATTGGGCCCTGTCCCAGGACTCACCTGCAGGACACATCTGGCAGCAACGGTCAGCATTCCTGTATTCATCGGCATTACAGAACTCCGGGCCAGAATGCTGTTGGCTCTGATTGTGACTTGACCCAGTTGTGGCACTTAGCTTCAGGTTAAAAAGAACAAGAAGTGTATCACTCGCAGCCCCTCTTTACTGGTCATTATTTGTCTCAGAAGCGACCTTATGAAAGGACGGTGAAGAAGGAAGCAGCAGGCAGTGCTATCCTCACCTAAAAATAATCATGATGCGCACAAGCTAGCTGAGCTGTGCATGTAAGGAAGAACTAACTCTACAGCTTGTAGCTTCACAGGAAGGCTGGGCAGAAAAATCCTTGTGAATTTCAGTCCATTTTGACTCTTTACACAGTAACAGCTACCTAGGTTCCTTCCTGGCAGCCAGCCATGCCCGGGTTCTCTTGCTAAAGGTGGGAGATGGGGTGGAAAATTTATTAAAAATTTAAAATTTCAGTATCCCAATATCATGCTCTATTTTCTGATCAGCAGTGTATAAAAAGACCATATTTTTTTAAAAAATAAATTCCTTGGTTGGTGGGCATTTGGGTTGTTTTTGAGATCTAGCTATTACAAATTGTGCTACTGTGGTACGATGTTTTTAATTCTTCTGGAAAGATACCCAGAAGGG